TCTATCTCAACTAGAACCTAAAAAGGTTAATGATGCTTTGAATGATGAATTTTGGGTTTTGGCTATGCATGAAGAATTAAACAATTTTCAAAGAAATGAAGTTTGGAAGTTAGTTCCTAGACCTAACAATGCTAGTGTTATTGGTACAAAATGGGTTTTTAGAAACAAACTTGATGAACATGGCATTGTAACTAGAAATAAAGCACGTTTGGTTGCCCAAGGATACAATCAAGAGGAGGGCATAGACTATGATGAAACCTTTGCACCGGTTGCAAGGTTGGAATCTATTAGGATGTTTTTGGCATTTGCTAGTTTTAAAAATTTCAAACTATTTCAAATGGATGTCAAAAGTGCTTTCTTAAATGGTTTTATAGAAGAGGAAGTGTATGTTGAGCAACCCCCCGGTTTTATAGATCATGCTTTTCCTAATCATGTTTACCGGGTACAAAAAGCTTTATATGGGTTGAAACAAGCTCCTAGGGCTTGGTATGCTCGCCTCTCTAGTTTTCTTGTTGAAAATGGTTTTTCAAAAGGATCTATTGATAACACACTTTTTGTGAGAAAAAGGAAAAATGATTTCATTTTAGTTCAAATATATGTGGATGACATTATTTTTGGTGCTACTAATGAATCCTTGTGCAAGGAATTTTCTAAAGTTATGCAGGATCACTTTGAGATGAGTATGATGGGAGAGCTTACATTCTTTCTCGGGCTCCAAGTCAAGCAAACTAAGGATGGGATTTTCATTTCACAAAGCAAGTATGCAAAGGAATTGGTTAAGAAATTCAATTTGGAGAATTCTAAGCATGCGCCTACTCCCATGAGTACTAGTGTTAAGCTTGACGCGGATGAAAGTGGTGAAGACGTGGACCAAAAATTATACCGAGGTATGATAGGTAGTCTTCTTTATCTTACCGCTAGTAGACCCGATATTATGTTTAGTGTGTGTGCATTTTCAAGCTTCTCCTAAAGCATCTCATTTAATTGCGGTTAAAAGGATCATTAAATATGTTAATGGCACTTTTAACCTTGGTTTATTTTATCCAAAAAGCACCACTTTTGATTTATATGGTTTTTGTGATGCCGACTTTGCCGGATGTAAGGTAGATCGCAAGAGTACTAGTGGAACATGCCAATTCTTAGGAAATTCCCTTGTTTCTTGGGCTTCCAAGAAACAAAATTGTGTTGCATTGTCCACTACGGAAGCGGAATACATTGCCGCCGGCTTATGTTGTGCTCAAGTCTTATGGATGAAGCAAAGCTTAGTTGACTATGATTTGAATTTTCAAAATATTAAAATCTTTTGTGATAACACAAGTGCTATAAATATTTCCAAAAATTCGGTTTTGCATTCTAGAACTAAACATATTGATGTACGCCATCATTTCTTACGCGATCATGTAGAGCGACAAGATGTATCCCTAGTATTTGTTGACACAAAATCTCAACTAGCGGATATATTTACTAAGCCTCTTGGAGAGGATGATTTTTGTCGCATAAGAAATGGTCTGGGCTTATGCACTATGTGAAAGTTCTACATTGCTTGCTTGTTTAGTTGCATCTTGCATTTTGCATTTCTTTCCCCATTTTTTGATGGTGACAAAGGGGGAGAGAAATCTCCTCATTTGTTGCATATATTTAGGGGGAGCTCATAGATAGGGGGAGCACCTATCTATAAGCTATTTTATTTTTGCTCTTATATAATGGTTGGTTGTCATCATCAAAAAGGGGGAGATTGTTAGCCCTTATGTTTTGATGATACTCTTACAACCACCATTATCGGTACTAATGGCTTATTGAGTATAAATGTAGTAAATTCATTTGTCAAGCTCGTTAGTGCCATCAACGGAGGATGGATGGAATATACGCTACAACGAAGATATCCAAAGGAGGAGGAGGCCAAGAGATGAAGCAACGTTATTTCAAGAACGACAAATTCGAATAAAAGCTTCATCCGATTCAAGCTATATCAAAGCTCAAGTATTGCACTCTATATGAGGATATTAGCTTTCTTTTGTTTCCCTCTCTAGTGCTAGAATGTAGGCAAAGAGTTACTGAGTTTACTTAAAGCTATTGGGAATCACACACACGTTTTTAGACTTATGCTTTTAAGTGTTTTTCACAAAATACTATTTTTCATAAGTATGAGTACCTATCTGCAAAATTCTTTTTCCAAACAGTTTGTTTTTAGTATTAAAAACATTTTACAAAGTTTCAGAATTTTCAGAGGTCAAATAAATATTTTGCAAATATTTCAAGTTGGTCAAAAATCCTTTTTCAAGAAAATATCAGAAATCGGTCGACCGGTACGGTCGACCGATCCTATGACCCTTAATCAGTATTTTTCCAGAGAGTCGTCGGTCGACCCTTTAATCGGTCGACCGTGCCGGTCGACCGATGAGTCTCTGCGTGTTTTCCTTATTTTCTTTAGCTGCTCGCGGTCGACCGAATTTTTCGGTCGGTCGACCGAAGGCTTTTTCCGGTTGACCGAAATTCTCTTCGGTCAACCAGATTTCGTCTTTGGTCAGCCGTGACTTTTTTAAATGGTCATTTACATCGAACACTGTGCTTTCACTTGTTAGTGATTGGCACAGTCTGTGATGAGGGTCTGAAGAAGAGATTATTATCTCATTTGGGAAGATTGGGTTTTGTTTTAAAATGATTTAAACTTTTCTATAAAAACCCCCCAGACCTCTTCTTCTTCCTTAGCCCTAACGTTTGAAAAACCAGAGAGTTTTTTCTGTTTCCTGAGTAAAATTTTCAAAGTCTATTTTCTCTCTGTTTCTTAAGTGTGATTCACTTCCCAGCTTCAGTAAACCTTCTCTTTGCTATAAGGGCTGTGTAAAGAGAGGTTCTTGCATTTCTTTCTTCTGCTGTGTGAGTGAGATCTGTGGAGATCTACTGTGAGGGAGTGTGATCTGTTGAGATCAAACTGTGTAGTGAGAGAGATCTGTGGAGATCGCTGTGTAGACGAAGTTCCGGCTTCCAAACCGGGTGTGTAGTGGATTTCTCCTCGAGAGTGGGGAGCGGGGACGTAGGCCAGAGGGCCGAACCTCGTTAACACATCGTGCGTCAATGATAACGAACTCCTAACCCTATATCTCTTACTTTTATTGCATTTCTGTTTTGTGGTTTGCTTGTGCTGATTTTTTATTGCATATTAGAGCCTCTTGACCCTAATCACCCCCCCTCTAGGGTCCAACATTCTAGATTTGGAATAATTCAGATTTTGTCTCCTTTCTCTTCTATTTTTAATTTTATTTTTCACTCAATTTTCCTAGGTCTTCATATATTTCAAAATTTTACAGCAAAAAATTTACAGCAACATCTGCTAATTTAAATTTAAATATTTTGAAATTTGAAAGTGATAGATTTCTAGATTTGGAATAATTCGGATGTTTGTCTCCTTTCTCTTCTATTTTTAATTTTATATTTCACTCAATTTTCCCAGGTCTTCATATATTTCAAAATTTTACAGAAAAAAATTTACAGCAACAACTGCTAATTTAAATTTAAATATTTTAAAAATTGAAAGTGAAGAAGAAAAATCTTACCAGATCATCTTTGACCTTTGTTCACTTAGTCCGAAGAATTTTTTCTGAGATTATGTATGAAAATTTGGGTGTAGAGAATAAAAACATGTTAATATATATATGTATGTGGTAGTTTGGGAGATGTGGGAGTTACAGCGGTGGAGGCAGTTGTTCACGGTTATGAGAAGTGGGGTTATGAGAAGTGGGGTTAGGTGGATAATGGGTAGAATTTGTGATAAATTATAGTTTTTGTATAAAGATGAATTAAAAAAAATTGTTATAAATAATCTGATTGGTCCAGATCAGATTTACTGTTCATAGGAGCTTTTTGAGTGTTCTCTTTTAGTTAATAAGAAGTAGATACAAAGCCAATATTTACTTCATCTTTATATCCATATTTGTATTGGGCTCCTAATTGGGACCGGATACTCTGTACTTATAATATTGCAATCAATAAAATGTAAATATAAATTCAATTTATATTTACCTCACCATACGGGTTATTCCAATATTAGCCCCTTTAAATTTTGATATTAGCTTCCAGTATCTTTAAAATTGATCTTAAGCCCCCCAAAATGTTCAAGACTTTGATCTTAGCCCCCCTCCTCCTCCACCCATGCCCACCCCCAACCGAAATCTTTGGAATTGATCTCAAGCGTCCCAAATCTTATTAATATATTGAAATAAGCCACCCCAGTTAAACTCTGATTTAAATGAGGAAAATATTCTGCTTAAGTAAACTTTTTCGGTGATTTGCCACTTATACCCATTTCACACAAACCCAAACTAATTAATCACTTTAACTTATACTCGTTAAGCCCTCCAAATCTATTTAATAAAAATCCTAACTCAAACTAAATTTTCACTTCATCTTCTCCAGCGTCTTCTCCAACATCTTCCTCAATGGGAATCTATCTGATACAAATTTAGGATTAAATCTGAAGAGAGTCATTGGGGAAGATGCCGTAGAAGATGAATTGGAAAATGAGTTTAGGTTAGGGTTTTTTAAAGATGGTTTGGAGAGTTTAAGGGTATAAGTTAAAATGATTAATGTGTTTGAGTTTGCGTGAGAGGGGTATAACTGACAAATCACATAAAAAGAAATAGACTATTCCCTCATTTCAACCAGGTTTTTTTAGGAGGGCTTATTTCAATATACTAATAGGATTTGCGGGGCCTACGATGAATTTCAAGATTTGGGGGCTAATATCAAAATATTGAACCTTTGGGGGCCTCAGAGCAATTTCAAAGATTAGGGGAGCTAATATGAAATACTGAAGATTTTGGGGCTACTATCGGAATAACCCTTTCCGCATCTGTTCCGTGTTATGTGGGACCCTTATTTGGAACCGAATACCCCCAGCGCACGTTAGCGCCGAGCAGTGGCCCAAGCCTAGGGTCGGTCACCTCTCCGTCTATAAATATACCCCCAACCCCCTCGGTTCTCCCCTTTCATCAAGAGTCCTCTTGCGGCCTCTCTCCTTTCCGAAGGCGAGGAAAATCGCGAGAGAAAAAAAAAAAAAAAAAAAAAAAAAAAAACAAAAAAAAAAAAAAAAAAAAAACAAAAACAAATCTGCCACTGTAAAATAAATCAAAACAAACATTCGAACTCAGTTCCCTCCGATCTAACTGAACTCAGTGAAGGGAGGGAAAAAAAAAAAAATCCAACAAAACCCTAATCTCTGAGAGTCAACCATGGACATGCGATTCCCGTTCTCTCCGGCCGAGGTGGCCAAGGTCCGCACCGTCCAGTTCGGAATCCTCAGCCCCGACGAGATCGTAGCCCTCTCACCTCAACCTCTATCGATTTCTCAACCTAGGGTTTCGAATTTCGTTTCGGTTCTAATCCTTGATTTTGCTACTTTGTTTTCAGAGGCAAATGTCGGTGGTCCAAGTGGAGCACGGCGAGACCATGGAGAGGGGAAAACCTAAGGTCGCCGGTCTCAGCGATCCGAGGCTCGGCACGATCGATCGCAAGATGAAGTGCGAGACTTGCACAGCGAACATGGCCGAGTGTCCTGGTCACTTTGGCCACCTCGAGCTCGCAAAGCCCATGTTTCATATTGGATTCATGAAGACTGTGCTCGCTATCATGCGCTGCGTTTGCTTCAATTGCTCCAAGATTCTCGCCGACGAGGTAGTTTACGTGAGGCTTTACTTGTTTTTGATTATGATGGGTATTCAAACTCATGAAGGAACTAGTGTAGTTACGGTTCTGCTAAGAGTTGATTCAATTCAAGTTGGTCATTAGGGAATGGCGCTTGTAAACTATTATTGCATATGGTCTACCATTGGTTGAATTGTACATATTTGTTATTGATTTCGGTCATTTTGGATCCTTATTTCTATTTACACGGAAGCTGTATGTTTGTGTCCATGTGAGTGTGGAATTTCTTTCTTCTTTTGTTGATGTGAATCTTCTTGATTATGATTTTTCTTTGCTGTGCTCCAGGACGATGTCCGGTTTAAGCAGGCACTGAAAATTAGAAACCCGAAGAACAGGCTGAAGAGGATTTATGATGCCTGTAAAAGCAAGAAAAAATGTGCAGGCGGGGATGATATCGATGTTCAAGGTCAACAGGATTCAGATGAACCAGTAAAGAAGAGCCGAGGCGGTTGTGGTGCTCAGCAGCCAAATATTACTATTGATGGTATGAAAATGGTCGCGGAGTACAAAGCTACGAAGAAGAAATCTGATGACCCAGAACAGCTTCCTGAACCTGTTGAGAGAAAACAACAGCTTTCTGCAGAGAGGGTAGCTAATTTTGCAAAATTGTTATTTTAATTTATTTGTTTTAGTAGTCCGAATTCGATTGTTTCTGTTTTGTGACATGGCCAGGTTCTCAGTGTTCTTAAGAGGATAAGCGATGAAGATTGCCTCCTACTAGGTTTGAACCCGAAATATGCTCGTCCAGATTGGATGATATTACAAGTTCTTCCTATTCCACCACCACCTGTAAGACCATCTGTTATGATGGACACCTCTGCTAGAAGTGAGGTAAGTTTGCTTTGTTTCACGAAATCATGGATAACCTGTATAGAGTTACAATACCATTGCATCACATTTTCTTTTCATTTTTAATATGATTGATCAAATGAAAACCTTACAGGACTCATTATTACTTACTATATAGTAGTTGATTCAAGGCTTGGTAGAGTTATTTGGAGTTGGTTATTATTATTCTTTTTTTGGGGGGGGTGTGAGGGTAGCTAATTTTGCAAAATTGTTATTTTAATTTATTTGTTTTAGTAGTCCGAATTCGATTGTTTCTGTTTTGTGACATGGCCAGGTTCTCAGTGTTCTTAAGAGGATAAGCGATGAAGATTGACTCCTACTAGGTTTGAACCCGAAATATGCTCGTCCAGATTGAATGATATTACAACTTCTTCCTATTCCACCACCTCCTGTAAGACCATCTGTTATGATGGACACCTCTGCTAGAAGTGGGGGTAAGTTTTCTCCGTTTCGCAAAATCATGGACAACATGTATAGAGTTACAATGCCATTGCATCACATTTTCTTTTTATTTTTAATATAATTGATCAAATGAAAACCTTACAGGACTCATTATTACTTACTATGTAGTAGTTCATTCAAGACTTGGTAGAGTTATTTGGAGTTGTTCTGATTATTCTTTTTTTGGGGTTCGGTGTATTTGGGGGGCGCGGGGGATGGAAAATGCGTTGCTCAATTGTCCATGGTTATGTGACCTCTAGACTGGGGAGCATTTTGGAATGAATGAATGATGACACTTGTTTCATATGACGTTCAAAAATATTAACATGCACTTTGTTTGATCAACTTCTAATATGAGTTCTTGTATTTCAATAGGATGATTTGACTCATCAGCTAGCAATGATAATCAGACACAATGAAAACTTGAGACGTCAAGAGAGGAACGGAGCTCCTGCTCACATCATTACAGAGTTTGCCCAGTTATTGCAATTTCATATTGCAACTTATTTTGATAATGAGCTTCCTGGACAGCCAAGGGTATGTATTGTGATGTGGGCTATTTTTTTATTTGTACAGTCAATTTGAGCTGCTGTTTCTTTGTAATTGCAGGCTACACAGCGGTCTGGACGACCTATCAAGTCTATATGCAGTAGACTTAAAGCAAAAGAAGGTCGGATTAGAGGGAACTTGATGGGAAAGCGTGTTGATTTTTCAGCACGAACAGTTATCACCCCTGATCCAACAATTAATATTGATGAACTGGGTGTGCCTTGGAGCATTGCCTTAAATCTGACGTACCCAGAAACTGTGACTCCGTATAACATTGAACGGTATAATCTATTTTATTCTGACAATGTTTAACTATTTCCATTTTCCACATCTCAGATACCAGTTTACTTTACGTGAAACTTGATTTATTTATTGTCAGATTGAAGGAACTTGTAGAATATGGCCCTCATCCTCCCCCAGGTAAGACTGGTGCAAAGTACATAATCAGGGAAGACGGTCAGAGGCTTGATCTTCGTTACCTCAAAAAAAGCAGTGATCATCATCTCGAGCTTGGGTACAAGGCAAGACTCAAACCTTCCATTGTGATTTCATCTCTTTTCTTTTTCAACTGGTTGTGATATTTGGGCTTTCTGATTAACAGGTAGAGAGGCATTTAAACGACGGGGACTTTGTTCTTTTCAACAGACAACCAAGTCTTCATAAAATGTCCATTATGGGACACAGGATAAAAATCATGCCATATTCAACTTTTCGCTTAAATTTATCAGTTACTTCCCCATACAATGCTGATTTTGATGGTGATGAGATGAACATGCACGTTCCTCAGTCCTTTGAAACTAGAGCTGAAGTTTTGGAGCTGATGATGGTTCCCAAATGCATTGTATCACCTCAGTCAAATCGGCCTGTTATGGGCATTGTCCAGGATACACTCTTAGGATGTCGGAAGATCACCAAGAGAGACACCTTTATTGAGAAGGTGACCTTAGTGTTTGTTCTCATTCATATGTTTATACCTTCAATTGTTTTAAGTCTTTCAACTTATTCAGCACTGCTTGTATTTCAGCAGAGTGTGTTAATATCCTATTATGAGTTTCACAGGATGTATTTATGAATATTTTGATGTGGTGGGAAGACTTTGATGGGAAGGTGCCTGCCCCAGCCATTTTGAAGCCTAGACCTCTGTGGACAGGGAAGCAAGTGTTTAATCTTATCATACCGAAGCAGATAAACCTTTCCAGAGCTTCAGCATGGCACTCTGAATCTGAAACAGGATTTATCACACCCGGAGATACGCAAGTCAGAATAGAGAAAGGAGAGCTGCTTACAGGAACTCTGTGCAAGAAAACCCTTGGAACCTCTACTGGAAGTCTTATTCATGTTATTTGGTATGTATGCATTGTTAGCTTTACCATAGACAGTTCCAATTAAGCGTTGTTGATATTGTCCTTGTAATCCCATGCAAAATGCAGGGAAGAGGTTGGTCCTGATGCTGCTCGCAAGTTTCTAGGGCATACCCAGTGGCTTGTGAATTATTGGCTTTTACAAAATGCCTTTAGCATTGGTATTGGGGACACAATTGCAGATGCAGCTACTATGGAAAAAATTAATGAAACAATCTCAAAGGCCAAAAATGACGTGAAGGATCTTATTAAGCTGGCCCAAGACAAGCAATTAGAGCCTGAGCCTGGCAGAACTATGATGGAGTCATTTGAGAATAAAGTGAACCAGGTATGACCAAGTAGAGTAATACTTCCTCATAAGCTTTCTCTGCTTTTAGTTCTCCGTAATATAATTTTCTTGCAACAGGTCTTGAATAAAGCTCGTGATGATGCTGGGAGTAGTGCACAGAAGAGTTTATCTGAAAGTAACAACTTAAAGGCAATGGTCACTGCTGGATCAAAGGGAAGTTTCATCAACATATCACAGATGACTGCTTGTGTGGGACAACAGAATGTTGAGGGCAAACGTATCCCTTATGGTTTCATCGGTCGAACATTACCCCACTTCACAAAAGATGATTATGGACCTGAAAGTCGTGGCTTTGTCGAGAACTCCTATCTCCGTGGTTTGACTCCACAGGAGTTCTTCTTTCATGCAATGGGAGGTAGAGAAGGTTTAATTGATACTGCTGTCAAAACCTCTGAAACTGGATATATTCAGAGACGTCTTGTGAAGGCTATGGAGGATATCATGGTCAAATATGATGGCACCGTTCGGAATTCACTGGGAGATGTCATTCAGTTCCTTTATGGAGAAGATGGGATGGATGCTGTTTGGATTGAGTCACAAAAGTTGGATTCTCTGAAGATGAAAAAGAAAGAGTTCAATAATGTTTATAGGTACGAAATTGATGATAATCAATGGGACCCAAGTTACATGCTACCAGAGCATGTTGAGGATTTGAAAACAATTCCTGAATTCAGGAATGTGTTTGATGCCGAGGTCCAGAAATTAGAAGCTGACCGATTTCAGCTTGGGACTGACATTGCCACCACTGGTGATAACACATGGCCTATGCCTGTGAACCTCAAGAGACTCATCTGGAATGCACAGAAGACATTCAAAGTCGATCCAAGAAGACCATCTGATATGCACCCTATGGAGATAGTAGAAGCTGTTGATAAGCTTCAGGAAAAGCTGAGAGTTGTCCCAGGTGATGATTTTCTGAGTATGGAGGCTCAGAAAAATGCCACTTTGTTGTTCAACATATTACTCCGGAGTACATTTGCTAGTAAGAGAGTACTGAAGGAATACCGACTTACCCGTGAAGCATTTGAATGGGTTATTGGTGAAATAGAATCTCGCTTTTTGCAGTCTCTGGTAGCACCGGGTGAAATGATTGGCTGTGTAGCTGCTCAGTCTATTGGGGAACCAGCAACTCAAATGACCCTAAACACATTCCATTATGCTGGTGTGAGTGCCAAGAATGTTACTCTAGGTGTTCCCAGGTTGAGGGAAATTATAAATGTTGCTAAGAAAATCAAAACCCCTTCACTCTCTGTCTTCTTGAAGCCTGAAATCAGCAAGAAGAAAGAATTGGCTAAGAACGTGCAGTGTGCCTTGGAATATACTACTTTGCGTAGTGTAACACATGCAACTGAAGTATGGTATGATCCTAATCCTATGAGCACTATAATTGAGGAGGATGTTGACTTTGTTAACTCATACTATGAAATGCCTGATGAAGAAGTTGCTCCGGAAAAGATATCTCCATGGCTGCTCCGTATTGAACTAAATAGAGAGATGATGGTAGACAAAAAGCTGAGCATGGCAGACATCGCAGAGAAGATTAACCATGAGTTTGATGATGATCTTACATGCATCTTTAACGATGACAATGCTGAGAAACTCATCCTTCGTATCCGTATCATGAATGATGATGCCCCTAAGGGAGAACTGCAAGATGAATCTGCTGAGGATGATGTCTTCCTCAAGAAGATAGAAAGCAACATGCTTACAGAAATGGCTCTTCGGGGAATCCCTGATATAAACAAGGTCTTTATCAAGTCTGGGAAAGTAAATAGATTTGATGAAAATGAAGGGTTTAAACCTGATGTAGAGTGGACACTTGATACTGAAGGTGTCAATTTGCTGGCAGTCATGTGCCATGAAGATGTGGATCCAACCAGGACAACTAGCAACCACCTGATTGAAGTTATCGAAGTTCTTGGAATTGAAGCTGTCCGTAAATCACTCCTTGATGAGTTGCGGGTGGTCATATCTTTTGATGGGTCTTACGTGAACTATCGTCACTTGGCTATTTTGTGTGACACTATGACTTATCGAGGTCACTTAATGGCCATCACCAGGCACGGTATTAATCGCAATGACACTGGCCCAATGATGAGATGTTCATTTGAGGAAACTGTGGATATTCTCCTGGATGCAGCTGTTTATGCTGAGGCGGATCATCTCAGAGGTGTTACAGAGAATATCATGTTAGGTCAACTTGCACCAATTGGAACAGGGGGCTGTGCTTTGTATTTGAATGATCAAATGCTGCAACAAGCTATTGAGCTACAGCTACCCAGTTACATGGAGGGTTTGGATTTTGGGATGACACCTGCCCGTTCACCTATCTCAGGGACACCATATCATGAAGGAATTATGTCACCAAGCTATTTGTTGAGTCCAAATATCCGGTCTTCACCGTTCACAGATGCTCAGTTTTCTCCATATGTTAATAACATGCCTTTCTCTCCCGGTGTTTCACCGGGTTATAGCCCATCGTCTCCTGGATATAGTCCATCATCGCCGGGATATAGCCCAACTTCACCTGGTTATAGCCCCACATCTCCAGGATACAGTCCAACATCTCCTGGTTATAGCCCCACGTCTCCAACTTATAGTCCTAGCTCTCCAGGGTATAGTCCAACTAGCCCTGCTTATTCTCCTACAAGTCCTTCATACTCACCCACCTCGCCCAGCTACAGCCCTACCTCTCCAAGCTACAGTCCTACATCTCCCAGTTACAGCCCTACCTCTCCCAGTTATAGTCCTACTTCACCAAGTTACAGTCCGACTTCACCTAGTTACAGTCCAACATCCCCAGTTTATAGTCCCACTTCTCCTGTTTATAGCCCGACGTCTCCTGCTTACAGTCCAACATCACCATCCTATAGTCCTACCTCTCCTTCTTATAGCCCAACATCACCGTCATACAGTCCAACTTCTCCTTCATATAGTCCTACATCGCCTGCTTATAGCCCCACTTCTCCTGGTTATAGTCCAACTTCTCCAAGTTATAGTCCCACTTCTCCAAGTTACAGCCCTACATCTCCGAGCTACAATCCAGCTTCTGCCAAGTATAGCCCTTCTCTTGCGTATTCCCCAAGCAGTCCGAATATTTCACCATCCAGCCCATACAGCTCAAGTTCTCCGAATTATAGGTAAGAGAAATGTACCTTTTCTGTTTCATTTGTAGAAAGCTAGTTATTCAGCTACTCAATCTATTAGCACTCAAATATGAGTTTGTTTATTTTGACAAAATATTAGTTCTTACGGTAGCTCTGTAATCATGGCATACAGACTAGTTAGTCTACTAGCTAGTGAGTGTGGATTTTCTTTTTTCACTTATAATATTACTTTTTAACATGCTCAACTTTCTTTTCTTTTATTACAGCCCAACTTCACCAACCTTTTCTCCAACCTCTCCCTCCCATTCGCCTCCGAGTCCCACATATAGTCCTACAAGGTAAGGATCTTGATTTCTTACTGAACTGTCACTTTTCTTTCATGCTTGAACAGATTTATTTAACCAAGAAGAAGAGCTTGATGATGATACACAGAAAGATAATGTGTCCATCAATGAGCAATCTCTCATCTATTTTTTGTACTATACATATGGTTCTGTTGGTAAATACTATCGTAAAGGTTCCAGTAGTAGGAAGGAAAAAATAAAGGAAAAAAACCCTGCATCCATGGCGTTGAAGCTACATATCTATTACTATTATTTAAGAAAGGCCACATTCTTGGTTCTACCCCTATGTGTCTCTAGATTTGAAAAAATTCAACTTTTGTGCTCAACAATTTATTGTGCATTGAAACTAATTAGAAGGATAAATTTGAAAGATCTAAAAACATCCTGACTACCATCCACTACTTGCTAACTCCCCTCCCTCCCAACATTTTCTAATAGTAAGATCCTTTATATCACCTTCAGCGATGATTTTCTAAAAAAATTTCCTATTAGTAATGATTATTAATGTGTTCAAAATATTTTTTTAACACGTTTACTATGTAATGCACGCATCGTGCATCGGAGAACTAGTATTTTTATGATTGAATGATGTTCATGGAAATTGTTCTATTAAAGGAACTATCATTGCCGTATGGGGTTTGACAGTTTTGAACCGTATTCAGCTGAATTCATGGATAGAGGATCAGAGCATTTCTTTTGTGACAGCCAAGGCATGGGAGGGACAAACTTGTCAAGTGAATGATGATACCATAACATTAGTAAGACGGCTCAAAACAACATATTTAGAATAATATGTTTGGTATCTCAGATCATGTATAACTTTATAAGAGGTGCTTGGTATATCGTATATTGATTAGCATTTAGGCAAAAATATAATGGACTTCTGAAAGTTGCTAGATAACTATACTTAAATTAGTCTTGTTGAAGATATTTGATACAACGGTAGGAGGAAAGGTTGGCAAACGGGGAGAATCGTGTTGGGAGCCATCAGGCCCCCCCATGCTTGGTTTAAGATGTAACTAGTTTGTAGGTCTATTAGGAATAATGAAAGAAAAGGGGGAAAAATTAGGAAGGCTCCAATAGTTCTGTTATAATTAGTCAAACTATGGCCTTTTTTCCCTCATTCTTAGTGTTTGTGATAGGTTTCTGAAACTATTAATGTACTATTTACTGTTGAAAATTATTACAGAAACTCTAAATATTGATGTACATTGCAGTAGAACTGGTTTTAAATAATCTTCTTTGTTAACACTTCCCTTCTCTTATGTGTTGCAGTCCATATAACTCTTCTGGTGTGAGCCCAGTTTACAGCCCGAGCTCTCCACAGTACAGGTGTGTTTTGTATTTACTTAGTAGTTTTCTGAAAAATGCCGATATGATAAAAAATAGTAGTTTTCTGATAACTGTCGATATGATAAAAAGTAGTAGTTTTCTGAAAACTGTTGATATGATAAAAAGCTAATAGCTCTTGTTTCTATTAACAGCCCAAGTGCGAGTTACTCACCAACTGCACCAGGATATTCTCCATCCTCGACCAGTCAATACACACCACAAATGAGCAACAAAGATGATGGAAGCACTCGATGAGGGTACCAAACATCCAAATGTTTTGTCAAGAAAGTGATGTAATAACCAACAGAATGCTGCTCAAAGCTTTGCAAAGCTTCGTTTTCAAGGTGTCATGGAGGAGACTGCCAGCAAACAACCAAATGCCACTGGGAATTGTAAACGTGCCAGTCCTGCCAAAATAGTGGCTCCAATGTTCTATTGTGAAATGTTATGCTTGTAACGTAGGCAAACTCTGATATCTAGCGGCAGTGTTTCTTTCTTCTTTGGTTATTGTCTGTACGTTTTTGTAGGAGAAATAATCATTTACCATTGTCGCCAGTTTGTAGGGAACCATGAACTTGGTAATAATTCCATCTAAGACATACAAGGCAAAATGCTTGAAATCAATTTATTTGCTGTTGTTCGTATTGAAATTTGTTTATTTACATAATTCTTATTTCCTTCCCTCTTGCTAGTATATATATATATAGGAAAATGTTTTCCTAAGGTGACACCTTAGATTCCCACCTAAGGAAGCGGTCTAAAATCACATCATTCCCTAATTTTTTTTGGCGATCCGTTCCGTTAAACTTGATCTACACGTTCTTAAACCTAAACACATCAATTTTAGGGTGAACCCGTCGTATTTTGATCTTTTATCCACTCACCACAATTTTAACGGTTTCGAATGAATAGAACATTTTGCACGGCTCAACGAAGGGTCAAAACACGACGGGTTCACCCCAAAATTAATGTGTTTGGGTTTAAGAACGTGTAGATCAAGTTCAATGGAGCGGATCACAAAAAAAATTTAGGGAATGATGTGATTTTAGACCGCGTTCTTAGGTGAGAATCTAAGATGTCACCTTAGGAAAACATTACCTATATATATATATATATATATAGGCATGAATGGAATTAAGAATTCACAACTAGATATATGCCTGTAGCAATGAGTATGTGCAAAAGGCAACAAAATCATCCTACAGGTTAATTAAAAATCATGTCGGACAGTTACCCAGCAAAAGTATCTTCAGTTCAAGCTGAGATAATCCTCCCACGTAAAGCAATCTCAGGAATATTCAAATCTCATAATTGACAGTATATATTATGAAATTGAAAGCCATCACTAACCATTTGGACAAGAAGGCCAAACAATGTAATAGATCCCTTGCCACATAAGGACTAAAATCTGCCCAAAAAATTTGAATCCAATTAATCAAAAAACCTTTTCCTACCGCCATATACAATATCTTTCAGTACTGACATCAACAGCAGGTCAGTAAACCTAGTTTTTGACAATGCGGAGTTCCAAACAAATCACCCCTTCATCAACAGCCAGCGTTCTTTACACATTTAAATTTACCGAATTTTACCTTTTTTTTACAATACTTCTTCCATTTTTCTGACTACAAATATACACATCGAATAGTAAAAGGCATTGCTTGCAGAAGGGAAGCATCACCTTCTATTCTAACAATTATTATTTCTCCATCTTTTATCCAAATAACCATATATACTAATAATGTAACCATCTTATATAAATAAAAATAATCGTTTATAAAAAATTATAATCTGGTGCAAGCACATTCACTTTTATCCTGTATTGATCACTCCAACACCACATGATATAATAGCGTGTATAATACCCAACATAATGCTTGAGATGAAATTCAGAGTGATGACCAGGTTAAAAGATTGAAATATGATTATCAACAAACTAAAAGCACCGTCAGTTTAGTTACTCTAAGCTAAGACGCCTCAGCCTTTAAATTTTGCAACAACCACATAGAAGTAAAAAAAATCCATTCTAAATGCCAATTTAATTGTTCGAGCCAAACATATCTATCAAACATGGCTACTCATGCAATTAATATAGAATTCTTATATGAGGGGTCTTTTCTACCTATAATTATTGTCCTCATGGAAATAAATCTATCCAAAATTAGAAAATTTCAATCAAATTTTTGGTGATCCTGACACGTGTTATATGCTATTTTAATACTAAATTATAATTCTTATGTGATGGGTATTTTCTATCCATAATTAGAATTCTTATCAAATTAAATCTATCCAAAATTAAAAAATCTCTAATAACAATCAAATATTTATTAATCTTAACCAAATCAATAATTATCCATAATTAAAAATATATAATTATATTTTTAGTTCTCTTTAATTAATAAAAATCTGATAATCATATTTTATTTATTTATTATATGTATATTATTACTTACTATATTTAATGTATATAATATAATGACTATAAGTATTTATAGGCTATAGGTTATATATCTATAATTTATGAGATTTAATGGTATTTGTCATAGTTGAGGGGATTCCTCCTTGAGCCTCTAAATCACATGATTGAGGCGCGACATTATGGATGATCCGCTCTGTGAACTGATCCTACATTTCTAAAACCCAAACACCAACGTTTAGAGGGAATCCGTCGTCGTTGACCCCTCCATCCGAGGCCAGTGAAAAGTTCTACTCTTCAAGAACCGTTAAAATTTACACTAGATGGTTTTAAGGCAAACGAGACGAGTTATCCCAAATTGTGCTGTTGGGGTTTAGAATATGTAGATCAGTTCAAGCGGAGCGAATCATCCTATCAATGTCGCTCAATCATGTATTCTTAGAGCTAGGATGGAAATCCCTCCTATGACAAGGATACTCATTCAATCTCTCTCTCTCCTCTCTCTCTCTCCTCGATATTATATATTATAACTTTAGTATAATATATGAGAGAAGTGTTCCTAAGGTGACGCCTTAGATAATCATCTAAGGACGCGACCTAAAATCACATGATTGAGATATATTATGAATGATCCGTTCCGTTGAACTTGATTTACATATTCTAAAACCCCAACAAACCAAGTTTGGGATAAACCCGTCGTCGTTTGACTCTTCATCCACTCATATCAATTTTAACGGTTTCGAATGAATAGACCTTTTCACATGGCTCGACGAAGAGTCAAACGATGATGAGTTCACCCTAAACTTGGTGTGTTAGGGTTTTAGAATATGTAGATCAAGTTCAACGGAGCGGATCATCCACAATATAGCTCAATCATGTGATTTCAGGCCGCGTTCTTAGATGATTATCTAAGGCGTCACCTTAGGAACACTTTTCCATATATATATATATATATAATATATATATAATATATATATAATATATATATATGAAGAATGTTCCTAAGGTGACGCCTTAGATAATCATCTAAGGACGCGACCAAAATCACATGATTGAGATAATTATGAATGATCCGTTCCGTTGAACTTGATTACATATTCTAAACCCCACAAACCAAGTTTGGATAAACCGCGTCGTCGTTTGACTCTTCATCCACTCATATCAATTTTAACGGGTTCGAATGAATAGACCTTTCACATGGCTCGACGAAGAGTCAAACGATGATGAGTCACCCTAAACTTGGTGTGTTAGGGTTTTAGAATATGTAGATCAAGTTCAACGGAGCGGATATCCACAATATAGCTCAATCATGTATTTCAGGCCGCGTTCTTAGATGATTATCCACAATGTCATTCTCTGTGTTCTACTTGACTTCAGTTCGACTTTGCAATAATTTGTTGAAAAACTATATGCACATGAGAACTGCCCTTGCCTCTGTATGGGTTAACAGCAGGTAAACCTCCTCTTGCTTTCTGAGGGTTGCAGTTATGAGATCAATTATGAGATAACCACCCCTTAAGCCCCGTCCAACAAACAAACACCCCCCCGCCACTCCCCCACCACCGCATGCACCAGCCACTCCACACCACCCTAAAAAAAAAAGGAAAAAACACTAACATTATGATTTTATCAAACAAACCCCCAAATAATGTTAACTGCAATTTTCACATGATTGGGATAAATTACACAGCGAAACATTATCGCTGGTGAAATTTATAGTTTTCGATATTGGTTTTTTTTATAATTAATGTTTAAGCAGAGTTTTCTAATAACCCCTTAAAATCCCTAACATAACGAGGGTTTTCTGAAATTTTGAAAGTTATGAGGTATTATCCGATAATTGTCCAAAGCTAAAGGCTTTTTTTTCTTTGCTAAATATTAGCCTTACAATAAGTCCGATAATTGTCCAAAGCTAAAGGCTTTTTTTTTCTTTGCATAAATATTAGTCTTAAAGATAGTATAATTGTTGGTTTTATTATATATAGTATATATATATATATATAATATAATAATATATATATATTATATATAATATATATAATATATAGAAAAAATCCTAAAAATATTCTTTTATATATACGCAATGAAGAACTTGCCTCTGTTACGGGGATTGACCGGCGGCTAAACCTCATTTGCTTTCGGCGGGTTACAGACCACCTCCACCCCACCTGCAAAAAAAAGAAAAAGAAAAACTAACATTATGATTTTATGCAAACAAACCTCCAAATAGTGTAACTGCAATTTTCACATAGTTGGGATAAATTACCGGTGAACATTAATTCGCTAGTGAAATTCGTATTTGCGATATTCGGCTTTTTTGATATTAATGTTATAAGCACGGTTTTTTGATAACCCTTAAAAGAACCACTAACAAACAGGGTTTCCCAAAATTTTGAAAGTTACGAGTATTTTCCTATAATTGTTCAAGGTAAAGGCGTTTATTTTCTTGCTAACATTAGCACTTAGAAATAAGTATATGGTTGTTGTTAATATAATATATATAATATATATAAATATAATAATATATATAATATATACTATATATATATATATATATATATATATAATATATATATATATATGGTGTGTGTGTGTTGTGTATAGAGAGAGAGAGAGAGCAATTATTTTTGTTTTTTTTGCTAACATTAGCCTTAGATAAGTATAATTTGTTTGCGTTATATATATATATATATTTATATATATATATAATATATATATATTATATAGTAATATATAAGATGAATGTGTATCCTGTCAGAGCGAGGAGATTTCCTTCCTTGACGCCTATGTGCCACCAAATCCACCACCATCCTCATACAAATAGGAAGAAAAGTGGAGTTAGATGGAGATTGTGTGCTACTTTATGAGATGGTGGAGATTGTTGCCACATTAGCGACAAGGAGGAAATCCCCTCCGTATGACAATGCATACCATTAATCTCTCTCTCTCTCTCTCTCTCTCTCTATATATATAATAATATATTATATATATCATATATATATATATATTATATATATATATATATATATTCTGTTGTGTGTGTGTTGTGGGTGTGGGGTGGTATTATATATATATATATATATATATATATATATATATATAATATATATATATATATATATATATATATATATATAGATATATATATATATATATTAATATATATAAGAGAGAGAGAGAGAGAGCAGAGATAATGGGATATGGGTATGCCTGGTACCAAGCACAAGTTTTTGTGCTTGGTAGTGAGGTGACATATTCCTCTTCACTCATTAAAATCGGGGCCATATTCACATGGGTTGGGTAGTGGTTAAGAATTGGAATGAGTGGATAAGAATATGACACCTCACTACCAAACACAAAATTTATGCTTGGTACCAAGCATGCCTATTTTTCTCTATACTAGTTGGGATGCACGTACGTTGCACATGGTTAAATATTCTATTTGTTTTTGTTGAGCTTTTATGTTTGCTATAACTTTATTGTGAAAAATAATTGTTTTATTATTTAAATTTGTTTTATGAACATAAAAAATGAGAAACTTAATCAAAACAAAAAGAAATAACAAAAAGTATTATGAAGAATTTTTTAGTGTTCACATATAAGAATACATAAATTTAAAAATAAAATGAGCAAAAATAGTCTACAATATCCAAGTGAATCAGGGTTGTGTTGGCCTTTTTGTTTTGATGATGTTTTAACAAACAATTTACTACTAATATTGTTTGTCTAGTGTTTGTATTTTCTTATTTATTATAGACAAACAATGAGTTAGAATATGGATGGAATCGAGCATTCACGATTATATCCAATGAAGGTTGGTGGAATAGTAGAGTGCAGCAATGCAATTCGTGTTAAAGATCCAAGTTCAAGCTTCATCCGCAAAGTGTACCAAGATAAGCTATAATGAAGATCTATCAAGCTTGGATAATTTAGTTTTAGGTTTATACTTGTGTGTAGATACTTTAAGCTCATATATACGCACACACGTATTTGGTTGTTATATATATAGTCATATATATATACACATGTTTTGGTTTTATAAGTTTTTAGGTTTAAATATGAAACAAATATATATATATATATATACATGTTTATTTTGGTTTTTGATTTTTAAGTTTAAATATGAAACAAATACATATTTATATATATACATGTTTTTTTTCATATGGTTAAGTTGTTTTGGTTTAGTTATGTAGATATGAAACAAATATATATTCATATACATATTCATATGTTTCATATTCTATTATATTTGGAAATATATTGTGTTTTTGGGTTATAGACTTTATAACAAAAGTTTATACATTTTATCAAGTCTATAAAGCCATACAAGAGTTTTCAAAACTTTGGTTTATGTCAAAACATCAAATTTCAAGTATATCACATTTTCATGTTTTGGACATTTTTACAAAATGAAGAGATTTCTCATTTGGGGAGTGATATTCCAAAAATTCTTTTTGTAACATGTTTATTATCATGTTTACAATCATTTTTCAAAGTTTTATATTTTTCTGATTTTATTTGCTATTTTTAAAAGGAGTTTTAAAATCAGTTTTACTATTTAAAACAGACTGATAAAATGTTATCAGTCGACTGATACATGTGTTCAGTCGACTGAAGAAAACATCTGGAATAAGCAAAAGTTTCTGTTTTATTCTGATTGACTGACCAGTCGACTAATGAGGTCATTAGTCAACTTATCGTGTTCCTCAGTCGACTGATAAGCTGCCAGTTTCCTGTAACGGTCAGCTCATCAGTCGACTGATTAGTCGACCGACGACATAACGACTAGTTTTTCCAGATTTTTATGTTTCAGTTATTTTGTCTTTTTGCTGGGATTTCTTGGATTTTTGGGCTTTGTCTTATGATCCTATATATACTCCATACCCTCTAACTTCTGAAAGTAATTAAGAAAGTTTTCAATTGGTATCAGAGCTTGGTGCTCTTTGATTTAAAGTTTTTAATTGGTATCAGAGCTTTATGCTAATCTAATTGTGAGATTTTTTGTATTTTGCTTGCACATTTTTATGGACTTTCATTGTGCACCTTGTTTAGGCTATGATCCTAATGTTGCTCCCAAATTAAATGCCTTCCCCTATGACCAATGATGTTCTAGATTTAATATATTTGTTAGATCTAAAAATTTTAATTTGTGGAAAATTACAGATGATGCTTACATTGTACCCACTTTGTAGAAATCCAAGTGTAGTGATAAAGATAAAATAATGTTTACAATGAATAAGGTTTTGTTAGAATTTATGCATAACGCTTTTGATTCATCTTTTTCTAACAAGCTTGATTCTTTTGATAGTGCTTACAAACTTTAAAAATTTATAGAAGCACATCAAGAAAACTTGGAGGTGATCCAATGAGCTTTGGCGACTTCCTCTTCAAGTTCTATTGGAGCATCATGCACACGACCACTAGGCGATAGCCCTAGTATGGTAAGCGGGTCCGATTTCGATGATGATTTATCTATCAATGAACTCGCATGTGTATATGATAGGTTAAGGCATACCTACACTAAGTTGCATAATAATTTTATTAATTTAAAAAATAAGCATGTTAACTTGAAATCCGATCATGAGAAGCTACCTTCCAATTTTGATATCATTAAAAAAGAAAATATGATGCTTAAAAAAAATAATGATATGTTAAAATTAAAAAAATAAAAAATTGACCTCATCCATTTCTATCTTATCTCATGCTAAGTTTGATGCCATGCTAGAGGTAGAAACTATTAGAAATGAATTTAATTCATTTAAAAATGATCATGCTCTTTCTACTTCTAGTGTTAATGCAATTATGCCTAATGAGGAGTTGAATCATATTAAGGACCGCATATCTTACTTAGATTCAACCTTAAACACATGCATTAATAATCACAAGAAACTTATAGACTTATATGCAAAGTCACGTGTTAATTCTTCCAAATCCAACACTCACTATGCACATATGTATAGCAAAGTTTACAAATGCTCAATTTATGATCGTAAAGGCCACATTGTAAAATTTTGCTATGATGCACAAAAATCCACTAAGACAAATGCTCCATGTGCATCTCATAAGGTTTCTTTTTCATCACGCACACATGCACCCATTGCTCATCATAAGCATGCTCTTGTGTATAGATGTGATCTTTGTTGTTGTTTTGGTCATTTGGCCAAGTATTATTTTGATTAGAAAAAGAAATCTCATTTGCCAAATGTTTTCTAGTAGACCACATGCTTATAAATATAATGTTTGTGGTAGATTTGGCCACTTAGGAAAGTTTTGTTTTGATAATGTTTCACATTTGTAATGTTTGTGGTAGATTTGGCCACTTAGGAAAGTTTTGTTTTGATAATGTTTCACATTTGCAAAGAGCTTCAAATAATTTATAGATTTGGCCACTTAGGAAAGTTTTGTTTTGATAATGTTTCACATTTGCAAAGAGCTTCAAATAATTTATCCATCTTTGCAAATATTTCCCAAAATCAAATTGATCTCTTTCATTGTACATATTATAATCGGAAAGGTCATTTGTAAGATTATTGTTATGACTGTATTAGTGCACCACATGCGCCCAAAAGGGTTCATAACCCTAGGGCATTGAGCTTTCATGATATGGGTCATGTCCCTAGACTCTTAGGTACCAAGAGTAATTGAGTACCAAAATTTGTTTGATCTTTAAGAACAAAATTTTTGAATTTTTTTTCATGTTCTTAAAGATGATTTTTGGTTTTCCAAATCCATAGTTTATAATTCTTGTGTGTTTTGTAATCTAATTTTGAACTATAAAAATTTGTTTCGATTTGTATTTTTAAATTCATTATAAAACACTTCTATGATGATATTTATGTGTTTGTGCTTATGGATCATCTATTTATGCTTTATAATGTATTCTATATATGATTTGATCAAGTCCTACAAAGAAAATTTAATTTTTGATCAAACATCATTTTTGAGTTTAAATCTTGATTTATGATTTCATTTGAGTGATTTGTTTTTATTTGAAAACCTTTTCCATGATACTCATGTTCTTCTTTCTTCTGATTTTATAAATCTATTTTATACATTTTTTTGGCTTTTGCTTTGAGGCACACTATTGTATAATGACATATTTATGTGTGTTCTCATTGTCTTGTTGTATGTGAGTTGTGTTTAGCATATTTTTTTATTTATGTTTACTCACATATTTGCCTTGGTCCTCATTGCATATATTCCATAAAGCATTTTGATAGGGGGAAGCCATTCCCTATATTTTTTGTGTTATACTCACCCATGCTTATTTGTAGGGGAGCCTTCGCTCTCTACTTGTTTTCCCCTTTTTGATGTTGTCAAAGGGGAGAAATATTGTGAGTATACATTTCCTTGTTGTTATGCATGATAATTCATAATTCCTATTTATTTCATTTCATGCATATCTCTTTTTATAAATTGTTTGTCATCATCAAAAAGAAGGAGATTGTTGGCCTTTTTGTTTTGATGATGTTTTAACAAACAATTTACTACTAATATTGTTTGTCTAGTGTTTGTATTTTTCTATTTATTATAGACAAACAATGAGTTGGAGGATGGATGGAATCGAGCATTCACGATCATATCCAATGGAGGTTGGCAGAATAGTAGAGTGAAGCAATGTAATTTATGTTAAAAATACAAGTTCAAGCTTCATCCGCAAAGTATACCAATTTGAGCTACAATGAAGGTCTATCAACCTTGGGTAATTTAGCTTTAGGTTTATACTTGTGTGTAGATACTTGAAGCTCATACACACACACACACACACACACACACGTATTTGTTTGTTATATATATATAGTCATATATACACACATAAAAGTTTTGGTTTTTGATTTTTAAGTTTAAATATGAAACAAATACATATTTATATATATACATGTTTGTTTTCATATGGTTAAGTTGTTTTGGTTTAGTTATGTAGATATGAAACAAATATATATTCATATACACATTCATATATTTCATATTCTATTATATTTGGAAATATATTGTGTTTTTGGGTTATAGACTTTAAAGCAATAATTCATACATTTTATCAAGTCTATAAAGCCATACAAGAATTTTCAAAACTTTGGTTTATGTCAAAACATCAAATTTCAAGTATATCACATTTTCATGTTTTGGACATTTGTGCAAAATAAAGAGATTTCTCATTTGGAGAGTGCTATTCCAAAAATTCTTTTTGTAACATGTTTATTATCATATTTACAATCATTTTTCAAAGTTTTATATTTTTCTGATTTTATTTGCTATTTTTAAAAGGAGTTTAAAAATTAGTTTTCCTATTCAAAACAGGCTGATAAAGTGTTATTAGCCGACTGATACATGTGTTCAGTCAACTGAAGAAAACGTCTGGAATAAGCAAAAGTTTCTATTTACAGGGAACTGACAGCTCATCGGTCGACTAAGGAACACGATAAGTTGACTGATGACCTCATCAGTCGACCGACGACATAAGAGCTAGTTTTTCCAGATTTTCATGTTTTTGTTATTTTGTCTTTTTGCTGGGATTTCTTGGGTTTTTGGGCTTTGTCTTATGATTCTATATATACCCCATACCCTTTAACTTCTGAAAGTAATTAAGAAAGTTTTCAGGTTGATGATCGGTTGATAAATTCCTAGTTGTTATTGTAGTCATCATCTCGTAAATTATTTTAATTGTCGCATACACGCAAACACACACAAACATGCATGTGAGTTTTTTTATCGGTCCCTTATATCATTAGTATTTTGCTATTAGTCCATCAAATCTTCATATTTTGATGTTAGCCTCTCAAAGTGCATAAACATGTTGATATGAGTTCCTATAATTAATTGATATTATAAATGATGGAGAATATTCTGTTATGTTTAACGTTTTTAAGAAAATTAATAATTATGCCCTCACTCCTAATACCCAAAACATACGTACCCATTAAACTAAAAAAATAATAATAAATAAAAGGCCCAATCTGAATTCATTTCACAACTCATCTTCTCCCACGACCCAATAAAAATGGTGAGCTCGTCTTCTTTAACAGCTCTTTTATTTTTTGAGGCTACAAAAGACTATTAGAACTCCTCCATTTAGAGAGAGAGAGAGAGAGAGAGAGAGAGAGAGAGAGAGAGAGAGAGAGAGAGAGAGAGAGCTAAACATCCTTGGTTAGTCTAAACCTAACCATGATTAAGGATTTTGGACCATAAACATAACATAGGAACTGATGTCTACATATTTTTGCAACTTGAGGGATTAATATCAAAATACTAACGATTTAAGAAGCTACTAAAAAATCGTGTATGTATTAATATAACGTGTATATGTTATGAATAAATGGAATACATGTTTGCTCTTATTAGAAAAGTTATTCTGTAGATAATGATCATAAATGAGCTACAAATTCTAATATTGTTCATTCTTGGGCATTACTCATCAAATTTCATGATATTTACTTGCTATTAACATTCATCTTACTTGACAAAAAAATTTAAAGTTCAAAGATACTTTTTGTAAATTAATAAAATTTCAAGGGTCCTTTTGAAGTGTTAGGATTATTTCTTCTATAAACTTTTTAAGTTCTTGTGTTTTATTAATTTAGCAAATTTTTTGTAAATATTTAAAATGTTTGTAATTTTGCATATTTCTGAGATTTTGTAAAATCTAGCCTTTTTCATAAATTTTGTAAAATCTAGGATTTTCTTGCAAAATTTTTAATATTTTAAACTATTTTGGGTTTCCGATAAGTTTTATGAAGTTTTTTCAAAAAATATACAATTTCTGATATTCTTTTGATTATTTCTACTAATTTTTGTAAGTTAAAATTTTTTTTATCAAATCTTCAAATTATGGAAGTCCTTTAGAGAGTTTTACAATTATGTAAGTTTTATGGACTTTGGATATTTTCTATCTCGGTTAATAACACATAATTAACATTTTTATCCTTAATTATAAAGATAATTTCAGATGTGAGAATATTTTATAATTGAACTAATTATTTTTGTCTTTATTTTAAATTTTAAATATAAACAAACAAATGATAAGATGAAGAGTTCTTTTTTTACTTGTTAGGTACCAAATTTAAATTATTATATGGTTGTAGTTTTAAATCTTTATATCTTTTCTCTATTAAATAATTTTTTGATTTTTGAAATTTCCTATTTTATAATTTATATTAAATAAATATACATGCATCTTATTAAAGATATTTCAATTACTTAAAACATGATCATAATGAAATCATATATTTTCTACAAAAGTTTTTAATATTTTGAAGTCTTTTCAATTATGGAGCAAAAAAATTTAAAATTTAACATACTTAAATCAAATATTATAATTGTTTCTTTTGAGAATTCTTAACATGCTTAAATCTATAACTAAATATAATTTTTAATATAATTATTGAGGATTTAGTAAAAAATCTTTATAATACTTAAATATATAACTTTATATAAAATTTTACATACTTAAATCAAATCTGAGCTTATATACGTATTGATTAGCATAAGATAGAATAATTGAAGCTTATAAGTTATACCTATTAATTAAAATTAATTAGGATAAAATTATATTATTGTTGATGCTCGTAAATAAACAGTCGATGGGGGTTTCAGAGTTGTTAGATTGGCGAGAGATTGGATCGTCGAGAGGGATGGGGGGCCGCTTTCCTTCTTCGACTTTACGTTTGGTTCTTAGAGCTCGGGACTGGCAAGTCTCCTGCACACACAAGAATCACCGCAGTACGGGGCTTGTTTCCCCTGTGGTAACTCCGACGATCAAGTCAGCTAACGGACTTAGGTAGATTCGTGGGAGAATAAGGTATCTGCTTCCTATGGGAGTATATGATTTCTTTTTAGTAGTTAAAGAGTTCGAACCTCCTTTTAGGATGAATATCGTCTCTATTTATAGAGGATGGCAAGGGTAGAACATGCATTTTAGTGAGAAGGCGTCTTATGATTATAGCGAGGGGTAAGCTGGAGGCTGAGTCACCCCCTGCCTAACACGCGTCAGTTGATGAATGATGGGGGCTCACTTCAGGGACATATGGACTCAGCAACCGACGAGGCTTGTCAGTGGGTGACGTGGGGTCACTTCTGCAGCATAGGGAATCAGCAGCCGTCGTGGCTCTCAAATAAGGATGAGAAATAATGTTCTGAGTCAGCCTTGGAGGAAGAGTCGGCTGATTGCTGAGTCACAATCTGTGGGCTGACTGTGTCCGCCCTTCGAGTCGTCCTTAGGGAACGAGGTCGGTCCGACTGAGTCTGTTCCTGGGACGGCGTGTTTGTGAGGAACAAGAGGCACCCTATAACAATTATAATAATATAGTATCTAAAAGGTTCAAGGGTATTTTTAAGATAGAATAATTGAAGCTTATATCTATTAATTTAAATTAATTAGAATAAGAATTATATTATAACATGTAATATCTAGAAGGGTAAGTGTATTTTTGTCCACGGAAAAGTTTGCCCAAACTCTGTATTAGTTAGGATAGGATAGAATAATTGACACATATACCTATTAATTTAAATTAATTAGGATAAGATTATATTATAATAATGTAATACCTAAAAGGTTCAATGGTATTTTTAGAATAGAATAATTGAAGCTTATAGCAATTAATTTAAATTAATTAGGATAAGATTGCATTATAATAATGTAATATGAATAAAATTTAAGGGTATTTTTGTCTATAGAAAGTTTTCCCTAACTCCCTCTTTTAAAGGGAGTATGATGGTGTCGGCTCAGTTTTCTAAAAACTTCACCGAGGTTGAGAATTGTAGAAATGGTGAAAATATTGGTAAAGTTCGGGAAGTTTGAAACGGAAAGGTATTTGGGTGCTTGCCGGTCGACCGCGAGCCTTGGCGCGATCGACCGCCACATATGCCATCTCCTTATTGAGTCCCGACGACAATCTAAGAATCTCTCCGACTAATGCAGAACTAGCATCCCCAACCAAAAATTTGTGAACCCTACCACCAACTTCAACTAAGCTAAAACCACCCTCCTTCCTTAAACCCTTCCCCTTCATCTTCCCTCTAATCTTACCGACTTCATCCCACCTTCCTTCTTTCGCATAAACATTAGATACTCCCACATAGAACCCACTCCCGTCCTCTAATCTCAGCAACTCCTTTTCCAACTCCTCACTGATCTCCAACTCCCCATTAGCACCACGAGCGTGCAATAACGAGCCCAAAACAACCCGATTCGGCGCAAACGGCATCGACCTCACAACCCTCTCGGCCTCCCCCAAAAGCCCAGCACGGCCCAACAAGTCCACCACGGCTCCATAGTGCTCCATCCTCGCCTCAACCTTGTACTTGTCCTTCATATCCTTAAAAATTTGAATCCCCTTCTCCACCAACCCACAGTGGCTACACGCGTGCAGAACGCTCGTAAACACCGGAGCGTCTGGCATCAGGCTTCTTCCATCCACGCATTCGCATCGAAACAAGCGATCACCGGCCTCGTGGCGCCGTTGAGCGCCGTGCATGGCGTATCCGCCGATCATCGAGGTCCACGTCGACAAATCCTTCCTCTCGGTCGCGTCGAACGCCCTCTTCCCGCTCCGCAAGCTCCCGCAAGCGCAATACATGCGTATGAGAGCCGTGGCCAGCTCGCCGGCATCCCGTCAAGCCGCCGCAGAGGCGAGCGCGTGCACGCGCCGCCCGTGGTCCAGCGCGCACAGACCGGCGCAGCAGGTCAGCGCGCCCACGAACGTGTCGGCATTAGGCGGCGGTCGCAGGAGCCGAGCATTTTGCGAAATAAGCGCGCCCCTGCTCCCGATGGGAGTGGGCTTGCTTAGAGAAGCAGGAGATGAGGGCGTTCCAGGTGACGGTGGTTCTGCGCGGCATTTCGTCGAACAGCTGGCGAGCGGAGCCGAGGGAGCCGGCCGAGGCGTAGGCGCGGAGCATGGAGGTGGCGACGTGGGGTCGGATTGGAGGCCGTGCTTGATGGAGAGGGAGTGGAGGGGAGGGGAGGAGGAGGGGAGGAGCGGAGGAGGAAGGGGAGGTGAAGCGGTCGGGTGGAGACGGGAGCGGAGCATGAGTCGGAGGAGGAGGAGGGAGAGGGAGGGGGTGGGGCGGAGGAGTGGGCCCGGATGAGGAGTTGAAGGCGAAGGGGGAGGGGCTGTGGGAGCGGGCGAAGGGCGAGGGAGGCGAGGGGGAGGTCGGTGGAGGAGAGGGAGGAAAGGATGCAGGAGGAGGTGAAGGGGTCGAGGCGCCAGAGGGAGGAGGTTATGGAGTGGGAGAGGATTTGGCTGAGGTGACGGCGCTGGCCGCGGGAGGACGAGGAGGCGTCGAGGGCGGAGAGGAGGTGGGATCGCCAGGCTTCGAGAGATCGGACGCTGGGAGCTCGGAATTTTGCCATTTTGGAGAGGAGCTGGGAATTAACGCTCCCGTGAGGGGACAGTTCAGAGATCGTAGCATGCACGCACGCACGCCCCGCAGGAACAAGACACTTGCGAGAAGAAAACAATTTAAACAATAATTGATTCTTTCATTAATAGCAGAAAATCTTGTTACAAAGAGTTGTAAACTTTTGCTTCGAAAGGGCGACAATTGAGCTTTTGATACATTGATTGAGACATAAGGGGACGAGTTGGGATTTTTAAAATGTTGTTTGGTTCATCAATATTGTAGGTTAACAAATACTATAATTTGTAATAATTAATTTTTGGTTCAAACACAAAATATTGTAGCATTACAAATTTTAGAATTTGAAATTTATAGTTGTAGCAAATAAAATTTAGGCTGAAACTGAAAACAACAAACAACTAGCATGTAGGCTGCTACCAAGTTATCAACAAGAAACTAACATAATGCTCACAAATTAAACAAGTCATAGCTGAAATCGGAAACAACAAGCAACTAGAAGGCTGCCACCAAGTTATCAACAAGCAACCATGCTCACAAGTTAAACAAGTCATAGCTGAAACCGAAAACATCAAGCAACCAGAATGTAGGCTTCCACCAAGTTATCAACAAGAAACCATGCTCACAAATTAAACTAGTCATAGATGAAACCGAAAACAGCAAGAAACCAGCATGTAGACGGTCACCAAGGTATCAACAAACAACCAACATAATGCTCACAAATTAAACAAGCTAAATACAACAACTAGCAAGAAAGAAGCAGAAAGCTACAAGCTGACTACATCAATCAGCAAGAAAGTAACTTATTGGACCAGTTCAAACCCACAAGCAACAAAATAATCAAAGATACAATTTTCCCAGCTCAAACCCGCAAGTTGATTACAACAAACAACAACAATGGATGCAAGCAACTAGCTCAAACCTACAAGTAGCAAAATAACCAAAGAAAAAAGCAACAATAGCTCAAAGCCACAATCAACCAAGCATGACCCAAATCCAATCATTTTATTATATATAGCTATTGTAGGGGCTCAGATATAGGTGCAAAAATTGAAAACATGGATTGCCTCATCTAACAATGATGTTACAATGTAGATTGCAATTACATGGATGAATTGCCTCACCTAAATATTGTAAATATAATATAGGTTGCATTCTCATCTAGGATTGTCCTACCTAAACATCACAAGATTGTACATTGCATTCTCATAATATGACTATCATTATTGCCCAAATACCCAAACCAATCATCATTTCAAATAATCTTAAAAGTCAACACACTCATACAGAATAACCATACTAATACATAGCTTGCAATATAGCTTGCTATCAAGTATCATATCCACATATTTGCATCAAGTATCATAATATATGGATATATTAACCTACAAAAGAATCCAAATTATAATGAACTACCATACCATATAATCAAATTACATCACTAAGCAGTGAAATATGCATCAAGTTTACAAAAGTAGTGAAAAATGCATCAAGTTACATCACTAAGTGTTCAACTTACATAATTAGCAACATATCAATAAGTGTTCAAATAACATGACTAAGTACTGAAATATGCATCAAGTTCACAAAAGTAATATATATATATATATATAATATCAAGTTTTCAAAAGTAATAATATCAAGCATTTTTTTCTTTTGATGATCAACCTCCTAGCATATGATTCAGGATCATACAAATGATCAAAAACTTTGTCCAATGTGTCTTTAGGAAACTCAGCCTCACGTGTTAATAAAACCTTCACCATGCTCTCACTCTAATGTAAAATGTTTTGGTGTTGAATTGAGTAGGATATTGACTCAATGAAATCGCGCATGTGAAAATCATCCTCTTTAGCCTTGCTAGCCTTGCTACTCTTGTTCTTAGGATACAATATATCAATTGATGTAGAAGATACCCACTAGAATTCTTCGCCATCTGAGCCTAAGTGTTGTTATTTTGCCTAATTGATATCTTAGGCTCAAGATGTGAGTTAGAGGACAAATTAACCTCATTATCACTAAGATCTATATGATCCTCATCAACTATAACATGTTGCCTATAGCCAAGCTTTTCAGTCATATCTCTAGTGAGATCACCCTTTTCTTAGTCATCTCCCATGATATAACACAAGTTCTCATAGTGTGTGAGAGAAATGTTTAAATAGTCCTTCACTAGAGCTATTACATTTGTTGTCCTACTAAATGAAATAATGCAAAATCAATATTCTCATAACTAAATATTCAAAGTTTGCTTATTTAACAAAAAAATTACTGTGTCCCCCTATCAAAACAATCTGGGTTCATGGTGATAATCTTAGTCTGTGGATCATAACCAGCCCCACTCATATTCATGACAGTGCGCATATCAAAAAATTTACCCTTCTAGCACTTGACATGGTTCATGACATTCTTCTTTGTGAATTCAGTACCACACATCTTGTTGACCTTATATGTAGCTTTTCAATATGCGAGCACCTTAAAAATTTCAACAACTTTAAGACCATCCTTCGCCATCTGAGCAAGAAAAGGGATTAACACATCATCATGTCCAGCATGCCATTTAGCATTCGCCATACCTCTTGTATTCTCTTCTTGTTTAAGACTTTTGGTTGTATTTTTTTTAGCAACTGTCCGCTTCTTTCTTTTGCTTGGTGAGGTAGCTTCATCTCCAATATCAATTGCAATTGGTTTCTTAAATGAATGAGTCTCACTTGAGTGGGTACAGGGGGAAGTATGGATAAGTGCGTGGCCATTGTTAAGCATATTCACATATGACATAGGTTGTTGAGTCATAAATGAATAGTTGATATCATAAGGATTGTAAGATGGATAAGAAGATGGAGCAATGTATTGGGTATGAGGGAAGGATAGTGTAGTGGTGGTAGAGGGAAAGGTACTATAGTGGGTGGTGGAGGAGCCGGGAAGTATGGATAAGTGGGTGTTCTAGGTGAAGGAGTATCCTTGTATGATAGAACATGCTTTATCAAAGTTTGTCATGCCTGGTTGTTACAAATAAAAACATACAAATTAAAAAGTTAAACCTCATGTTAGTACAATAATAGAATGAAAACAGCAATAATGTAATTCATTCTGATAAAGCATGTTCTATCTTACAAAAAGATGGTAGACAATATATCAACGAATATAGTAATGAATAAAAAATATGGCTTAAATTACATCCCAATCTCAGTTGTGTCTCCACCACGATATTTATTACAATAATCTTCCCACATTTCAATTGCAATTTGATCCCTCTTTGCTCTCCTTTCATTCCTTAAATCTCTTTCCTCTCTTTGAGTCATAGTTTGAGTAAAGTTAACAACACCGCCTTCACCCTAATTTGCTATTTAATCGCCATCCTCTTCAATGAAATTATCATCATGCAACAACTCATCTCCCAGATCTTCTATGGCGATATAGTTATGAAGTATAGCACATGCAATAACTATACCAACTTGAGTTGGGAAAGGGTAACGTGACTTTGCAGATAGGATTTAAAAAAAAATTAATATCATAAAAGTTGATTCAATGTTAGACCTTAGAGATGAATGTCTTAAATTAAACAACTCTTGTCTATTATTGATTGGCCTATACTTGTGCTTATTTAAATGGTAGCGCACTCCTCGATATGGGGAGATAAGCCTGACATAGTAGTGTAGCCCACATCACACAAATAATATTTCCCTATAATTGCCAAAAAATTAGTATTTTTTTAATTTTAATTAAATAGACATACTCTATTTGATTGATTTATTATCGTCATAGACTCTCAATCCGCAAGGTTGTGGTCTAGATAGTGTATTTTGTAAAACTCTATAATCATTTGCGAATCCCTCCCATCCGACTAGAACATACAAAAATAACTTATTGGGACTACAAGCAGCTAGAACATTTTGAGTTGCATCTTAATGACCTCTAAAACGTACAACAAGTCTAGTGGGAAGCATGGCGTCGATATAGGTTCCATCTATCATACTAATGCAATCCTATATGATGTATTAAACAATTATTAATAATAGAAAGAAAAAAATTTAGACTTATATTATAAGTAGCTATATTATCATAGTGATTACCTTGAAATAAGGATAGTACAATGGGTTGGTGGCAATCTCCGACGATACTTTATTTGGTGCTTGCTTCATATACCGCCCCCTTAAATGACCAACGGCTTCTAAACAATTATTAAAGTATATTGAAATTGTTTCCCCTAATCGTATGAAAT